CTAACTTACTGGGTAGCCAGACCACAACAGCATCACTAAAAATCTTCCTTACCCTTAACATATTTGGCCCCGATCTCGGGAATGCTTGGTTCTGTTTGTGTAGGTTAGGGTGAATCATGTGTGTACACAAACTCCTGTTACTTTGATAGCATTCTTAGGAATTGGCGAAAAACTCCTTTGAACATGTATGATCCTGAATCCGTCGTATGCGTGGTGAATATTTCGTTTCCATCCTTATCGAGTCCGCCCACAGTATCTGCTCCTAACGGACAAGCCCTGTGTTTTGGGATTCTCCAAAAAGATAAATTGCAGCTATCCCCATCGTGTACTGCTACAGTTGCAAGACATCGGTTGGATTTTAATATCAAACTGACGGCCTAGAAATTGTTCGGTATAAACAAAACCGTCTAGATTCTCAATACTTGTGTACTCATCAAGAGGCTTTCACAATTCTGACGTAATATAGCACGTAAGATGTACAGGACTGATAATAGTAGACCGGAGAAACATCGCAGTTAGGACGGCTAGCGGGTGGCCTGTTGACTCAAATCAGACTGGTCATTGGACTTGTGTAAGCATTTCTACACTACACTGAACTACAAGCTGTTTGCTAACATCCTCTGTAGAAAGGCAGATCACCAGGACAAAATACGTTGTCATTCGCTAGTTGGCAAGTAGTTCTACCGACTGGCGATAAACAACCCAAGGACAATGGATTTCTTNCTGATAGTGTAATGCTACTCATAAGTTCGCTGCATACTCTTCAACGACTCACTACCGGTCTCTCTTTTCGGAGTTTCATTGGATATGCGTACAGTTTGATGTTCAACTAAAACAGGGTTGGTAGGAAAATAAGGGACGAATCAACGCCGTCTGACAGTTGATCGACACTTTCCGCAGATGACTTTCCTGGGACTAACGTACAAAGTAATTCCAAATTGGACAGTCCTACTGCAGTTGGCCAAATATGTTAACCCACAGACTGAGATGGAGGTTTTTGTGTTAAATGTGAACTACGGTGTAAAAACAATCCTACAATGCACTTAACCGGAACCTGTTTGTAGAAAGGCAGATCACCAGGACAAAATACGTTGTCATTCGCTAGTTGGCAAGTAGTTCTACCGACTGGCGATAAACAACCCAAGGACAATGGATTTCTTGTCACGGTAACTTTTCGTATTGTGACTCTATGTGATCAGTAGTCAGCACTCTTTGGCGTTAGTATATGTTCCATTGCAAGGAATGTGTTTCACTCGGACCAATCACTGGCACGCTATGATATGCAAGCAAAACCCCTGGGTTCGGGATTCCAACCAACACCCCAAAGTTAACGGCAATCTGATTAGTTCGGTTATGCACATGATTAAGCCATGCTTTAGGGCAGGATATTGCAATATACTGTAGATCCTGTACCAGTACCTGGTGACAGAAATGACTTAATGAATATGGTGCGCAACAGCTTTTTTAAAAACAAGTGAATGCGGGCGGGAGTAACAGTTATGACAACCACGTGCTATTCTGAAGGGCACTATCTGGATTTGATTCTGACTGTCCGATGTGCATTATCGAACACCCATCAGCAACAGTGAAATCGTTGTCCCTACACAAGTCGAGATAGCTCAGTGGTTAGGGCGCGAAATTAATTATCGAGGGCGCGCTGCTGGCGCAACACCCTGACTACTCTAGAATACTCCTGCTTGTTTTGTGCGGCAAGGTGGTACACCTGAATAATTAGTTTTCATTTATTATTATTATTATTATACGAGCTCTTTCAGTAAAATCGTGTTGCGGAAGAATCATGGTTACCTGATCTTCCCCCTAACAAACTATTTTACTGGCTTAAGACATTTACGAAGGTCGCACTGAATATCTACTGATGCAAACAAATTTAGTCACCATGAAATTTTAAAATTGACGCTGTTAAAGCAAATTCACCATTGAAACGAATTTGTGAATTTCTGTATCACTTTTGAGAAGGAACAGATATTGAATGACGAAATAGCAGGAAAAATTTGGGGCAACTGATCACAACATTTAGAAAAACTTCAGTGAGATTCTCGAAAGAAGAGGGTGGACTGAGCGGCTTGTGGAGCAGATCTCAGTCAACCAAGCAGGGATCAAATTGCAGTGATGTTTTTCCCCTTACATCAATTCATTATATCAGCCAAATTTGCAATTATCCCCACGCTTCGCAATGGCCAAACATATTGAGATGCACCCCTAACGGACGATCCCCCCAGATGAAGAGTCTGGCGATACCTCCAATGTCTGGCTGATTTCCCGTAGTAACCCATTAGGGCCTGCAGCGAAAACCAAGCTATTAATCCTTCACAAACTTGAGGAATTCGGAATATCTACCAAAGTATATCTGGATATTTAGAGACCACGGGTGAGAACCCTCTATGGATTGGCCGATCCCGCTAGTTCCCTTACCCGGAAAATAAACACCATACAATCCCAGTGTTTTCACGTCGCAAGCTGCGCAGAACACTACCGATCACGTGGGTTCCCGTTTTATGTGCCCAAGGAA